CTTGAAAAGTATTACATTTTCCTGCTGCTTTTGGATTACAACATGGATCAGCATCAAACCCTTCTTCTTCCTTATACTTCGGACAATATCTCCAATTCCCTGATACCTTTGTTGTATCTGATAAAAATGAATAATCAACAAATGGGAAACAGAAAAATCCATTAAAAGTAAAAGTCTCTAATAATGACATTTCTTGTCCAAATCCCCAATTTGTAGATTCTAATATTGATTCCCAACGCTCCATTGAAGTTTCATATGTCTGTTCTAATCCAGAATCAATAAATGACTGACACTGAGAGATATCAAAGTCAACATAATGGTTATTTGTAAATATATAAACATTAGAATTTCCAATAGAACTGGTTGATTCTATTTGTACTGATTTAAAAGTACTTCCAAACAACGGCATTTTCATAGCATATCCACTTATTGGGTATGACAAAAATGCAACAAAACTATTTGTTGTTTCTTGTGTTGGCTCAATAAGGAATGAATATGAAGCAACATAATCAGGCAATGGAAAGAAATAATTTTCCCATCCAACATCTTTTAAACGTTCACCAGACTTTTCTGTATTAACATGATAAGTAAATTCTTTAGTTTTTTCTTGTCCATCCTTGTCAATATAATTTAATTTTAATTTTGGTGCTTGACTTTTGTCACTATATTTAATTGGATACGCCTTATTAGATGTAATAACTAACATTTTTAATTTAGGATACAATGACAATGATGTACTAAATATACCTCCACGAATATAGACTTGTTCTGGATGTTTCTCTTGTTCTTCCTTAATTAAATTTACTTTTTTCACAGCCCATTCTGTTGCTTTTCTAATTTTTTCTTTACCACTTAATCCAGTAGGTTCAACCCAATCTTCAAGTCCAATACAGCAAATAATGAAAATAAATGATAAGACAATGTTTTTGCTCATCTTTTGAATGGATTTTTTGGTATTTTTTGTTTTTTCTTCTTTTTAAGCAAACTTTGCTAATAACTTTATTAATAATTTTTTACTATTTTATTCATTACTTTTTCAATTTCAGGTTAGCGTTATTTCTTTTTTAATTGTTTGTTTTACATAACATTTAATTATTTATAATAAAAAATTAAATATGAAAAACAAGAAATTCATATAAAGTAATTGATGAAAAAATGAAAGAAAATCTAAAAAGTATTTTTATGTTTGTTCTATCTTGATTTTAATTTTTTCAATGAAGGAAAAAAAAATTATTTTAGTTATACTCGGTTGCAATAACAGAAAGAACAAACAAAAAGCTAAGATTAAAAAAATGATTCATTTAAATAAACAGTTAGATTTTTTTTTATTAAGGTTCTTGTGTTGAGGCTAATTAAATGTTCTGAGAAGCTTTATGTCTTGTAGAACTTCTAGTGTGTATTTTAGATTGAGGGACATACGAATCAGGTATAAATAACACTTCTTCTGAGTCACTAACTCTTTTTTGTTTAGAAAGTGTTTTCTTAGATTTTTCAGAAGAAGAAATAGTTCTTTTTGGCTTTTTCGTTTTCTTTTCTTGTTGTTTCTTTTCTAGTGCAAGTAATTGTCTCAATGCACGAACGTCTTCGTTGTCTTCTTCTAATGTCTCATCATCATCTACAACCATCTGGTCATCGTTTTGGGGACTAGAAGAAAGGGCATTATTAGTATTAATTGGTACCTGATTTTCACTGTTTCTAATAATAGACTCCTTATTTTTGTGAGTAGTTTTGTTAATAACGTTTTCAGTATTTCCAGAAGGAATAGTAGTATTTGGAATAATGGATGGCAAATCATTATCATTATTATGGATTGGTTGTTTAGAAGAGATAAATAAATCAGCACTTAAAGGAACATTTGGCATTTTTGGATGAGATTGGAAGAATAAATCAAGACAAGTAGGAAGAAACCCATTATTATAATACCTTGGGTGGTAAATAGCAAGAATATCAAGATAGTTAAATCCCATTATAATCATGTCTCTTTCTTTTTTAATGAATAGAAGTCTAATTTCTTCAGGTGAGAGATTAGAGTTAGTCATAACTAAGAAATGTAGTTTTAATTTTAATGAGATGAAGACAACCATGTATTTGGGGGTTTCATATTTTGAGAATTTTCTTTTTTTTTCCGCGTCAAATGGACTACATCATGTTTTTTGTGTTTAGAAAAAATGTCATTCTTCAAACGAATATATTTTTTCCTCTATGATTATAATTTCATAACAAAACAATATTATTACAAGTTCATTAAATAATAATCAAATATTATATATTATATATCAATAAATATGGGATTTTTATTTTAGTTATTATTCTATTATATTATTCAGTAGTATCTGTTTGTTTTACTTGAACTTTTCATGAAGTTAATTTAAAAAAAAAAGAAAACTCAAAATGGCTTTTTCGTGAACCTTTTTTATTTTTTTTCGTTATTCTTTTTTGTTTTTTTTTTTAATTTTTCTTAATAGAATTTGAACCTGTTTAATATGTAATTATTTATCATTTTATCCAGGTGAATAATTTTTGTTGAGATTTTTTAAGAAATATAGAAATATAATAATAATATTATTATTTTTTATAAATTATTAAAAAAGAAAAAAAAGATAATAAATTGTTTAATTAACAAAATGAACAGACAACAGAAGTGAAAAGAATGTAAAAGAGAAGATGAAGTTGATTTAGTGATGTTCCTCTTGTTTTTTGAGAAGATTATTTTGTTCTATAAGAGGATGAACCAAGTCAATTCCTTTATTTGGAGATACAACATCATCAATTGAACTAGTATTTAAAGAATTTAATAAAGGAGCTTTAGGAATTGATTTTCTTGGTGTTTGATCACCAACTCGAATTGCATTTGATGTAGTATCAGAACTTGTACAAAATTTAGTAATTTGACTAATAAGTCCAGAATCACCATAAGCTTGTTTTGGATTAGGCATTCTTTTTGGTAATTCTTTTAATCTATCTTCTAAAGTTTTTTGGGTATTTAAAGAGGAATCTTTTGATTTATTTTTTGATGAATCTTTTTTATCAGAATGCATAGTTTTACTTATAATTCTTAAATGGTCTTCTAATAAAGATTTTTTAGATTCATTACTTTTTTGTACCATTCTTAATGGAGGTTGTATTGAAGTAGACTGAGAAACTCCATTATTACGTGATGTTTCTTCTCTTTTTTTTTCTTTAACTATTTTCTTTTTTAAATCTTCTTTTTCTTGTTCTAACATAGTAAATTTCATTGAAGGTTTTCGTTCTTCTGCACTTCTCAATTTTCTTTTACGTTGATGTTTTTTTTCTTTAGGTTGTTCTGGTAAAATTGGATTTTTGTTAGTTTCTTTATCCATCCATTCTCCTTCTTCTTTTTCAGTTTTATCATTCTCTTCACTTCCATCTATTTCTTTACTTTTATATTCTTTTTTACTTTCTATACTTTCATATTCTTCTATTTGACTTAATAAATTATCACTTTTATGATGAATTGACCCTTCTTGAGATTTTTGAAGAATATTATCATTATTAGGAAATTGATTAAATGACATTTTATCTTCTATAGTATTTGATTGATCACCACTATCATCATTCTGTTTTATAATAATTTCTTTTTTCTCTTTTCGTGTTATTCTTTTCTTAGGCTTCTTTTCATCTTGTATGTCTTTGTCTTCATATAATTGTTCTGTCATTCTTTTCATTTCTTTGATAAGATCATTCTGTTTTTTAATGATATTTAATACTTTTAAATGTTTTTCTGCTGTTGTTGGTAAATATGGAATAGATGGAGCATTAAAAAAATGGGGATTTTGTTGAAACTCTTTAAATTTAATTGTAAAAGGAAACCCAATCACTGTTGGTTCTTGTGTTTTATGACAACTTGAATATAAATGAATAATATCAAGATAACTAATATTTGCTTTAATTAATTCTAATTCTTTCTTTAAGTGTGAGTTAATTGACTCCTCAATTATTACCATATGTTGAATATCTTCATTATTCATAACAAAAGAGTTACTTAAATTAGTGCTGTTCATTGGTTGCATCTAGGTTTCTATTTCTGAGTTTCAATTTCTATTTTTATATCACTTCCTTTTTCATTCTTTTTAAAAGTTACTGTCTTTTATTACCATTTTTCAATATTCATCTTTAAATTAAACATTATATACATTATCATAATGTTATACTCAACATATTTATGTTCTTTTTATATATTAAATCACAGATGATTTAAAGATAATGTTTGATTAGAAAAAGAAATTAGAAGAAGATTTGTAGGAATAATTAATTTCTATTTTTATTAATTTCTTCTTTTTAGTTAATAGTATAATTTTATTATAATTGTTTATTCTTAATAAACAACCAAAAGAGCATTAAAAAATAATAATAACTAATTCTAATAGTTTAACTCCATTTCTCATTAATGTTTATAATTAACATGATTTTAATTCTCTTTCTTTATGTTTATGCTTCAATGAAAAAGAATTACATTGTTTTATATTAATTATATTTTCTAGAAGGTTTATGAAACAAAAAAACAAGTTTAAGAAAGATGTTACAAAAGTATTTTTAACTATCTAAATTCTTATTTATATACAACATTATTGAAATGTGTTTCTTTGAAATTAAAGAACCAATATCATCTTTTTTCTTTTTAACTATTGTTATATCTAATATCTGTTATTTTAATTCATTTGATATTTATAATATTTTGAAATAAATCTATCTGAATTTATACTTTAATCCTTCAATTTATACATTAATTCGTTAACTAAAAGAGGTAATTTGATTGTTTTTTTATTAGGTTGTACATAACTTATGTTTGCAACGTTTATTCGTTTCATTCTTAATTTATTATTAAATGTTTGAAAAGTCACCTAAATATTATCTATGTTCATAAGAAAGGAAATGAATAAAGTTATTATCTTCCTTAAGAACCAACAATTAACTCTTCTTTTGGCTTCTTTGTGTAATGAAAAGAAAAAAAGTAAAACTTACGTCAACAACCAAATAAATTATTGAATAATATCTTGAGCAATGTCATCTATATTATCTTTAAGTTCATTAGTACTTCTTTCCATCCAATCAAGTGCTCTTCTATGAGCATTTAATAATTGAATAATTTGAACACACTCTTTATTTTCTCCTTCTTTTACTTCTGCATAATTGTGATTAGTAATTTGTTTTTTGACTTCTTTATATTTTCCTTCTAAACTATCAAGTGTATCAATGACAGTTTGTACCACATTCTTTGTTGTTCCAGATGAGCCAGGATGTTTATTTTGAATCTCTTTGATATGTGTTTCTGTTTCTATTTGTTGTTTTTCTATTTGTGTGACTACATCAATCATTTGGTCTTTCACAACACTCATTTGTTGAACAAATTTTTTAAGCTCTTCAATTTCCTTTTCTGCTTTCATAATAGATTCATTCTGTGCCTTAATCTTTTCTGATATTTCTTGGAATCGTTTGGCATCACTTTGTAAGTCTTTGTTCCATTCTTCAATACAATCATCTAACCCTAATGTCTTTGCTCGAGAAAACAATAGTTCTGCCTCTTTTTGTATAGAGCTTTGAATGTCATTTGTTGTTGGTTGATTCCCATTTGTTTGAATACCAGTTGTGGAGCTATTCAACAAGTTATTTGTACCAAATGGATTTCCTGATCCATTTGTTGTGGTAGTGTTAGTAGTGCTACTTGTGAAATTACCAAATGGATTACTTGTGTTTGTTCCAGTTGTATTTGGTGTAGTAGCACTAGAAGTAATAGTATTTGTGAAATTACCAAATGGATTACTTCCTGTTGTTGTGGTTGTTCCTGTTGTTGGAGTTGTGTTTGAGGTAGTGAAATTACCAAATGGGTTACTTCCTGTTGTTGGAGTTGTACTAGCATTAGAAGTGGTATTATTTGTATTGAAATTACCAAATGGATTACTTCCTGTTGTTGTGGTTGTTCCTGTAGTTGTGTTATTTCCTGTTGTAGTTGTTGTTCCTGTTGTGGTAGTTGAGTTTGAAGTAGTGAAATTACCAAATGGATTACTTCCTGTTGAAGTTGTATTATTTCCTGTTGTGGTAGTTGTTCCTGTTGTATTATTTCCTGTTGTTGGAGCTGAGTTTGAGGGAGTGAAATTACCAAATGGATTACTTCCTGTTGTGATGGTTGTTCCTGTTGAAGTTGTACTGGAGGTAGTATTATTAGTGGTAGTGAAATTACCAAATGGATTACTTCCTGTTGTAGTAGTTGTATTATTTCCTGGTGTTATAGTATTAGAAGAAGGAGTTTGATTAAATAAATTGGTTGTTCCATTGGTAGTGTTATTAGTACTAAATGGATTATTAGTAGTATTTGTATTAAATGGATTGTTGGTGCTTGTAGTATTAGTATTAAATGGATTAGTTGTTGAGTTAGTAGTATTGTTAGTAGTATTAAATGGGTTAGTTGTTCCTGTTGTGAAAGGAGTTGTTGTATTGTTTTGAGTAGTAGCAAAAGGGTTATTTGCTCCTGAGACTGAACTTCCAGTAGAATTGAACGGATTAGTTGTTCCCGACGTTTGGTTAGTATTAAATCCAGCGAATGAAGAATTTGTACCAAATTGAGGTTGTGTAGTATTGTTTGGAGTTCCAAAAGGATTTTGTTGACCAGATTGAAATGAAGAGAATTGATTGTTCATCGAAGAATGATAGAAATAAGATTTTTTCATTTTTTATAAAATTCATTTTTTGTGAATTATTTGAATCTGATAAATTTATAGTAAAGGTATCAATAAGTTATAGTTAAATTACTGTGTCGAAATTTGAGAACTTATGGCGTAAATCCCTTGCTTTTCTTTCTTCTACTGAGTATTCTTCTTGACATTGTTTCCATATCAACCGGTCAGGCAAATTGAACCACATTACCATTATTTCTCTTGCTATTGTTGGTTTAATTTGGTTTTGTAGAATGAAATAATAACTAACAATTCCAGAGAGAGTGAAATAAATGTATGTTGTTTGAGATGGAATTTCATTAAAGGCAATAGGGTTTGAGAGTTGAATGAGTTGACATTGTCCATTTAATGGAGTTATGAATCTAACAATGTGTTTGATAAGATCTTCACTCTTAGTTAATTCAAATGGAAAGATTTGAAGGAATGTATGACAATGAGAGTTTTGATTCATGACAACTGTTTCAAACACAATAAATTCTTTTTTCTCTACACGATAAAAGTTTCTCAATGAAGTATAATAATTATTTAATTCAGATAAACCAACAAGTGACATCATTTTATAAGACTGAATATGATGAATTGGAATAAGTTGAAAATGATTATCAATTAATGGACCTTTAGTATATGATAAATAGTTATAATATCCACAAGATATAATAAGTTTTAATTCACTTTTTGAATTTGATAAACAAAACCAACAATTATTAATTTTATAATTTTGAGGATATAATGGCTTTTTATTAATTTCAGAAGTACTTATAACATGTTGATGGTTTTCTTGTTTATTTGTAGGTATTGAAGAAACAATAGTTACATGAGATTGACATAATGGCTTTTTGAATTCTTTAAATTTAGATTGAGTAAGTTGAATGTCAGAATAAGGATTAACTCCAAGAATTCTTGTATTATTTTGTAACGCACCTTCTTCTACTGAAATAAGTTTTAAGAATATAATTGACTTTAAATTTCTTTCTTCTGTCTCAGGATTTAAAGAATAAAATTTAGTAGGATAAATTAAGTTATTGTTTTGCATTCGAGGTTCTGTTTTATTAGTAAACTCAACTCTTTCATAATATTCTTTGCCAATTGTTAGATGATATCTTGGACAACATGCACGTGCAATAATTGAAGCAACATAAGAATAGTCAACATGAAATGCTGGTTTTTCGTTATTATCTAATTCATTAAGAATATATGATGGCCAATATGTTGATATAAAGAAATCACAACTCTTCTGAAGATAATATTTTGTTGCTAAGTCTTTAGTTTCTTGATAACTAACATCATCTTCTGCTTCATCAATACTACTATAAACTAATGTAAATGTATCAATCTTTAAATCTCCAAGTCCATTTAATATATGTACATTTGTTGGAATTGGTTGTTTTAACTGATTAGTAGAAGGTGTTGCTAATATATAAATTGGACATGGAGGTTTTGGTATGATAATTTCTTCATTATGAATAAGACCTAATATTATAACTGCTTTTAATTCTCCTTTCTTACTTATTACTCTTTCTATTTTTTCAAATAGATGAACAATATAATTCCCATATATTGGACCAACAAACAGAAATTTACTTTTAACCACTCCATTTTCTTTTTCATCATTTTGTTCTTTTAAAATCATTTCATCTTTTTCATAACTTTGTAATTGACTCATTCTGATTTCATTTTCTTTCTCTTCAATTCCTTTATTAAATGTAATGTCATTATCATTATGGATATCATTGATTTGTTGAGTTGTATTATCGTATTGGTTTTTCTTTATGAATTTCAATTCATTTTGTTCACTTATTGTTTCTTGATCTACTGGTATTTGCACCTCTTTATGAATTAGCATTGGTTCTTCGTTGGTTAGGGTTTCTGCCTTCTTCTTTTCTCTTACTTCTCTTATTATGTCTTGTTGGACTTTTAGTTGTAATGAACTTTTTAACTTTTTAATCATTTCCTCCATTTTTCTATTAATTTCTTTAGGTGGTTCTAAAATACTCATCTCTTTCTCTTCTCCTTTATCAAGTGGTGGACATGCATCAACACACTCATTGCCTGCTTCTTCATATCTCCCTTGATGACTCATTGAATAAATTCTGTGGATAAACAGTTTATTTCTTTTTATTTTTTGTTGTTTGATATATATAACATTTAATAAATTAACAAAACACCAAATCCTGATACATAATGGTTATAAATTTGTCTAAATGGTTTATTTATTATTCTTTAATAAACTACTTCCTTAAGTTTATAACCAAGCTGTTGGAGTTAAAAAGGAGTTTTATGAGTTAGGATGAAAAAAAGAAAAAATGTGGTTATTCAATCCCAAAGAGTCAATTCATAGTCATTTCCTTATCATTTACAACATCGTTTATCTTTGAATAACTCAACAAACAGAAGTGTGCTTTGCATATATAATATCAATAATTTGTTTTATTCTTATCTTAAATAAAAATGAAAGATTTGTTATTGAATCTAAAATAATAATAATATTATTATTATACTACAACTTTTTTATTATATTATTTCATTACTTAACACATTCCTTGATTATTTTGATTGTGTTAAAACATTGATAATGTGAATTGATAATACCAAATAAAACAGATATTTATGACATATTATAAAAGAGAAAGTTTAATTTCCTAATTTAAATCAAGAATATAAAAGTTGTGTTGTATATGATAACAATTGATATTAACTGTAAAATAGTTATTAGAATATACAAAGTGTATTAATCATTTTCTAAATAATCATTTCAAATGGTTTAAGTATTAAATGGTGTTACTTGAAAATAACAAAACAGTACAAGAATGTTTACTAACATTCATTTTTTAGTTATTACCAATTCTCTTGTAACATAAATACGTTATTAACAAGAAAATTCTTTAAGAATGTTTTTTAACGAGTTGTATTTATGGAATGAAGATTTAATAGTCATTTAACAAATTACTACTTTTAATTTTGATACTTTGAATAATCTTTTACAATTCTTTTATTTAATTTATCACTTTGAAACATCTATATTTCTTCATAAAGTTGAACAAATAATTGTTCAAAAATCATATTAAATAACAAAAAGTCATTGTAATTATTCAGATATTTGGGTTGTATATGAAAGAATAGAACTATTATCCTTTAAGAAAAGAGTTGTTTCAATAATTTGACAATGACATATACTAAACTCTAGTCAGAGTCGACAAAAGAGACTTTGGGTTATGAAATAAGTACTTTTGTTCTTATTTTTCAGATGTATTACTATGACTCTTTAACAAGTTTTTTCTTTATTCATAGTATTAGCTGTAAGTAAAATATAAACTAGTGTCGTATATTTGATGGTTTAATGAAATAGTTGAAAATTAAGTTTGGTTATTTAAGTTAATTAAGTGTTTGAATCATTTACATTGAGAAGAACAAGATGAATTGGTTAAATTACATAATGAAACAATTATGGTTAAGTGATGATATAAAAAATAAATGAGAAATAGTGAAATAATAATAAGGTACAGACAAAGAAGAAAGTAAATACAAAGAGAGGTGCCTCAATAAAGAAAAGACAGAGGATAATAAATAAGAAAAGAGAAAGATGAGTGAAATGCCGTTATAAATTAGAATTGAAATAAAAACAAAATAATAACAAGACGTAATTCTGTTGAATAAAGAATAAGAAAATGTCAATTTATTTTGGACTAACCCTTTTTTGGTTAGCAACAATGCGGTCTCCTAAGTTAATTGCTAATGATTGAGTTTTACTTCTGATTCTAACCCATCCACTGATTTTATTTCCTATTTTCTCTGCAGATAAGTTGATTAATGCATCTTCATCAAACAAATTCTTTGCGTAGAAGTTAGCAGATAAAAATCCAATGCTATCACAAAACATGATTGCTGGTGTGATACATTGTAATTTAGCAATTGAACATAATAAGTCTGCATATTCTTTTAAATCAGTACATTCAGTGTCAACAGGAATTTTATTTTCCCATTCATATTCCATCCATTTCTTTTGATACACTTCAATATCTACATCACATGGTCTCATTTGGTCCAAGTATTCAATTCTTAATTCATTTAATATCAAATTAGCATCCAATGCATTGTATGTAACATTCTTATCAGC